ACACTTGCTATACATTTATTTACAACTTCAACTTACCAGCTGAAAATGGTAACTATGCCCTGCCTAAAGAAGTACAAGACAACCAATGAAAATTTCAGTAATCTCCGGAACAACGCTTGCATGGAAGTCTGGAAGAACAGCAAGCATTTTACTTTGTTTTGATGTTGTAACTGAGCTGCTTGATGAGTGGAATTTACAGTTTCTTTCTGAACAGCTACCTTTCAAATTTCAGAAGCACAGCATGAAGTGCTTTCAGTGGTATTTATTACAAAGAGACTACTAGTATCAAGTCATATTTGAGCCAGTCTATAAAAGTTTTTTTTGCAAATAAATTGTAAAAACACTTCAAAAGCATTAATCAGCTTTAAAAGGTTCATTTCTGCATACATTTTTCTACATAAGTTAAATCACATTAGGAGAACATACTTTTTAAAATATGGCTTGAGCTAATTTTAAACATGGTTGGAAAAGTTTGGCCTACACTGATTAAAATCTATATTTAAATGAAAGGAAAATTTAACCACAGAAACTGTGCTCATTTTAGAAAAACAAGCATATCACTGCCAAAGTGCTGTCCTAAGTTTAGATTGCTGTCTGACTAAAACATTACAATTACGAGAAACTAAAATGGATTTCTAAATGTTTCAAGATGAAACAGCCATTGGGTAATTTGCAAGATATGCAATTATCTTCTGAATTCAAACACATAATGCTAATACTTGAGCTGAACAAATGCAGGCTGTAGATCACTGCTTGCGTAGACATTGGGGAAATCGATGTTAAAAATCAATACCAACACTAGATAAGAGTAACTATAATGAAACTTAAGAGCAAAATTACCAAGTGATGTGGAATTAATTACTTAGATATAAAGAATTTTCTTTGAGAAAAAAAAGTTTTGAATCTTTTATCTACTGCTTCTGACTCTCTAGGAGCTGATCAAGCTGAACAGAGGATTCTCAGCACTTTTATCACTGTTAAAACTGCATCAGTGGCCATACAAGGCATTTCACACAAGCACCCACATGTAGCAAGACAGTAACATTTTTACCTTCAAATACCAGAGAGGGTCTTCCTAATAGATTTGAAGAGTCACACAGCATATTTTCTGTTACTTCTCAATCAACAGCTATATTTGGGTGGAGTCATTATCATACTGACTATGCAAAAGTTAAAAGGAAAAAAAAAAAATAATCACACACTAACCCCAGATCTGGATGTTCATTTCATGTATAACCACAGTAACTTCCAGTGACTTTGAACAGTAAGTTAAATCTTGATCTGCGACAACCATTACCAGTTTGATGCAACTAAGGAAATCAAGTAACTCCATTCCTGTTTAAAAATCACGATTGTGTGTACTTGTCAGCACCTGCACTGCCTGCTATTGTTGGTCTTTGATGTAGCAAGAGAAATGAATGGCTTGGCTGTGTTTTATTTCTTGTTCTCCTGTAAAAGCTTTGGTGTTTGGTTATCTTTTGACTCTTCTGACTACAACCAGCTCCACTTATTCAGTGAAGGAATACAAAACAATCTTTCATTCATCTATTAAAGCACCCAGGAACTGTGAGCATGTCTGGGGACACAGTAGTTTACAGGAACACTTCCATGATTCAAACACTAATTTTATAAAAGACTAGAGCATTTTCAAGAAAAATTAATTCTCTCTCTACAAGCAATGTGTGGTGATCCACACAACTGCTTCATATAGACTCATCAGGCAGTTAATTCATTTAGCCTTCATGGCACCTCTGAAGCCACCATCGAAAGAGAAAAGCAAACAGATATAGATTTCTTTCAACCATAAGATACGCTGGATGCCTTAAAAACAATAAAACCACCATAAGCTCAATGAGGAAGCAGAAGATTAAACAATACCTTTCAGAACTACTGGAATGAAAGGAATACCTGCTGCCTTGATACCTTAAATAATATAAATAGCAGCTACTATACCAAAGGATGCCCCCAAAAAAACCAAGAGTCATGGGAGTTTTAATATCACAGATACAAAGTCTTGGAAAGGCATGTTTAAAAGCAGGAAGATGAAAAAACAGTTTTGTTTCAAGGAGTCCCCAGGGGGCTGGAGAGGTGGGGCAACACAAAAAAAAAACAAACCCAAAACCAAAACAAAACAAAAAAAGCCCCAAAACCTAAGCCTCCTGTCAGATTAAAGGCAAATTTATTTTCTCAAACTCATGAAAGGATAGTGTGTGAACCTAGTGGAGCAATTAATTTTGTATTGACAAGTAAAGACTCCCCCAGTTTTGAACCTCGAAGCGTTTAAGAAACCCTAATACAAACAAATCAAATTAAGTAAATTAAGTTTATTATAGCAAAACAAGTTCACAAGCAAACTAGTTCAGCTGAGAGAAAGAGACTAGGAAAAAGAGACATTTTGTCTTCATTTCAAGAAGCCTGCTAACATTGCTTTCTTGCATCTCACTGTGCCCTGCAGCAGTAACAATGGACTTTATAACACAGAATTGTCTTTCAGAAACAATTCACTTTTTGGCCAGGTCAACAAAACATCATGTAAAACCAAACTGTGAGCCTTTGTCCACACTCAGAGGGGACCTGTTTCAAAAAGTCAACTCTCTAAAGGTTCCATTTTCCCCTCTCTTAGGTCTAAGTGCTGACCAAACACCACACATGCAATGCAAACAAGCCAACTCTCCTGAGTCCATAGCTAATAAAAAATTAAACCAGATTACAGAACTCAATACCACATATAGAACACAAGGAATCTTGTCTGTGTGTTCTCAGCACCACAACCTTGGTTCTAGACCCTCTAGGACAATGGAATGTAATGTTCTGGGTATGTTTGATCTTTCTAAACTTTGGGGACAGACTGTTTTAGAAGAGGATCAGTCTTACTGCATTTTGTGCTGTCTCCATGAGATGGATAGATTTTGCACTAGAGTTTCCTTAGAAAAATACTTGTGCGTCAATCTGATTTACAAAAAGTGTTTTGCAGGCTCATCTATTTCTAACCATTGAAAGTGACAAAGGGTGTGTGTCTCCCAAAATGGACATAAATGAGGCTGTCCAAACAAAAAATTAAGAGATAGAAACTCTACAGGGAGAAGTCTTAGACAGAATCAAATAGGAAGCCAACAGAAGGACAAGAGGATTTGCACCTGAGACAGTCCAGGTAATTAAGAATCTAGCCTGGCATTATCAAAAATAACTGCTGAAGAAGTACAGACTGCAGGAACAGATGAAACATATGACAGCCTGCCACCTGAGCAACTGGAGAAAGGACTTGCTGGATCAAGTAACCCCAACACTGCTAAAATCCCAGGTGGATGTGAAGATGACACCTCATTACACTTCCAGTTTTCTTTTCAGATTGCTTTTGGGAGGAGGGTAGGGAACTCCATGAAAGCAAAACTCATCAAGACTGAGGAGTTGGAACATACCAGAATCAAGGTTTCCCTGTGCAACTTCAGTTTAGCTTTTACAGTAGGATACAATAGTATTCTTCCTTCAAGATTCCTGCCTCACTGAGTACACATGGTGGACCAGCCCCTGAGGTCTAAATAAGGCTTTGTAGGAGACTTCCCATTTTCAGCACAGAAGCTCTTTGGCAAGAAGTGAATGGAGAAAATACTCTGGTAAGATGGGAAAGTTCCTTCACAGACTTATACACCCTTCACTCTTTACCACGTACTCCCTACAGACGGCTGACGTTTTTTTAATCCAAACTTTTCAGAAGTTGTAAGTGTAGTCCTGATTTTCTGAATGACCAATTTGAGACTTGGTTTCTCGAGGTAGTTTCACATTATACTTAACCCACAGCTGGTTTACATTAGTGCAGAAAGAGAAACAGCTTTCATTCATATCGGAGCAAACACTCACTAGAACAGCCTCCATCTGACAGAAAGCCATCCCCATAAAACTGTTAGATAAACTGTCCCTGCAACCATCCAACCACTAAATCCACTACAAAGAGAGTAGTAGTAACCCATGGCCAGTGATGGCAAAGAAGTGAGACCACATTCTTCGGCTGCAGTTCACACACTGACCAAACTATGTATTCACACTGTTAAACTGTACCTTGATTTGCTGAGGAGCCAGATAGTACAGCTGCCACTGAAGCTTTACCTTCAGAGTATTAGATAATACTATAAAATCTGATTACAAAGTCAAACAACTCGTTTCAGATTTTTGTGTTCAATTTAAGACATACTTTGGCTTTCCTCCTGTTTTTATCCTAGTTTCCCCATTTGTAAAGTAAGAAGGGGAAAAGAAAAAAAAAAAAACAACAAACCATCTGTTAATGTCTGTGTGTTACAGTGGAGTAAGTTTGTGCTTGAAAAACATTTAAATATTGCTGTGGTAACTACTGCCAAAAAGTCCAAGGGTCCGAAAGCAGAGAGGAGGCGGTGTCTTCAAAACGAGAGACAGCTACTATGAAGTAAATGAGATATGGCAATACTTAGCAATCAATAAGCAAAATACGCTACCCATTATGCAAGCATAGTCCACTCCGTCCACGAGCATAAGTGGAGATTAAACAAAAGTCTAGTGACAGCCACGTACTGTATCACAATGAATACACATAAGCACTAACGTGAAGCTGCACACATAGTTTAATTCTAGTACTTATTTTTAGTACGTGGCTTTTTACAGCCACAGTTATGTTCTGAACAGCCTGGTTGTGAAAAGTTACATGCCTTGTTCCAATCCTCACCCTGCACTTCTTACACAAGAGAACATTCTGGTCAAAGTTTAGCTTTGCCAGAGGGCAATTCTAGCCGAGACAGCAGCGTGCATGCCAGTACCAACGGGAGAAGTCACAAAAGACACAGTAAACAGGGAAAACCACCCAACTGCAGTCTGCAGAAACTGACTTCTGTGTACACGCAAGTCGTAACAAGAGACTCTACTTTTCCCAAAAGGAAAGATACTAAGGATGAGGTTATAACAACAAGCCTCCCTTTATTCCTCGAGGTGTAATAAAAGCAGCAGTACCGAAACCAAGGTTTCGGGTGACGTACACGTTTCACACACTCCGAACGTCTCCTCGGACAAGCTCAAGCGCCTTCCTCCAGCGGCTCCTCCTCGGGCATCGCCGCGGCTCCCAGCCCTCCTACAGCGCGGCGACCATGCCTGGGGAGAAACGGGAGGCAGGTGAGAGAGCCCGGCAGGCCGCACCTCGGCGAGGAAAAACCGGCAAGGCCGGGCCGGCGGCGGAGACCCGGAGCTGCTGATCAGCCCCGCAGCGCCAGCGGCCCGGCCCGGCCCGGCCCG